TGTGTACATGCAAGTATGCAAGCAACCATGCGAGATGAGCATGAAAACAAGTAAAAGAGATGGACTTAAACATGATTAGGCAATTCTCAAAACAAGCCTAAATCAGTGGCCAAAGTGCTCAAACATGGAGGCCAACACACGCACACACATGCACATGTTAAAGGGCTAATACTTAAGCACAAAAGGGCAACTCTCAAGCACACTTGAAAGAGGCATAACATGGACAATTAGCATGTAAATTAAGCTTTGAAAATCATGCAAGAACATGGTGCCAAACCAACCTAAACAATGCAATCAAGGTCCAAGATTCAAAGCAAGCTAAGGGGTATTGAACCACACTTATCAAGACCAAACATGGCATGAATTCAATGACCCAAAACAGAGTTTTAGCGCATAAAACAAAGCCCAAAAGATTACTTAGATGGCATCTAAATGACTTGAATTCAAAAAGCATGCACAATGACCAAAACATGGAGCATACAACACAAGCCTTTGATACATCAAAGGGACCATGAAATGCAAGCATACAAGCATACTAATGGACTGAAATGACATGGAAAATGTCCCAACCCACTAAATCAAAGCAAGTAATGCATGCTATACACTCACACCCTTAAGGCCAACAAGCCAAAATGCAAAGGGGCTATACAATGCATGCCAAAGTCGACCCAAACAACTAAGGACAGACCTTGATCATGGCAAAATAAACATGAAAGCTTCACAAAGCCAAGCCTAAAACATGCTAGAACAATGGTTTACAACCTAAGGCATGTTAAGGCAACAAAATGGCATTACAAGGCATGTATGCTAAGCAAGCATGGTGTACCAAACCAACTTAAAATAATGCTATTTCATGGCAAAATAAGCATAAATAACAGCTAAGGCATGGTCAACAAGAGCCTAAGCTAGGTGCTCCCTCGAGAGGCAAAATTGGTCCTTTTCAAGGACAACAAGGAGAGGGGGTGGCCCTTTCCTTCTTGGGACCTCAAGGCACCATCCTTACCACTGAAATCCCTCAAGATTTCAGTGGTGAGGAGGCCCAAACACCAAAGTCCCGGAGCTCACACAAAATAGCACAAAACAAGGGCCAAACAAGGCTTAAGAGGGGTCAAACAACCCCAAAGCTTAAAACACTCTTAACAAACTATTTAGAGGCCTTAAAAATAGAACTTTTATGTATTATAAGCAAAGCCAAAAAACAGTTACAAGATAGGTAAAAGTAGTGTGCAAAAATGGGGTAAAAAGGGACTAGTTTCTTACCCTTGAAGTCCTCCTTCACAAATGATGATCTTGTTGCCTCCTTGAGCTCAAATCCAGTCAAGAACACCAAGAACAACCCTCTGGTCCCTCAACAACCAAGAGAAGGTGTAACACTATATGTTTGTGTGCAATAGTATGGACGAACACACACTAGACACACACAAGAGAGAGATATAGAGATAGGAAATATGTATCAACCCTAACCCTAATCCAGAGCTCCCTCTGAGATTTTTGTAACCCTAATGCCAAGAGAGGAAGCCTCTTCTTATAGGCAACTCCCTCTTGTAAGGCTTCCAAAACAAGCCATCCAAGAGGGAAATCCCTCCATACACGTGTATGGAGGGGAAAAGAGTGGGTGCCAGCTATCACAGCTGGCACAAAATATCTACTAAAAGTAGATGAACAGTGATCGGCCATCCAAAATTGCCATTTTGAAAAAATAAATGGCCGATCGGCAACAAAGAATGCCGACCGGCAATATATATTGCCGACGGCATAAAATCACTGGCCGGTGATGTGTGGGGGTGCCTTACAAGGCATTCCCTGCCCCCTCCAAGAAAAAACACAAGTGTTTGGTGCAAAACCAGACATAACACGGTCGAGTCGAGAGATCCTGAGGTAAGGCGCGCAACCGAGACCTCCGGGAACTCAAGACGAACACAAACAAGGGTAATCACCAAGTGTTCCAATGGTGACGTCCAAGTCTTGAGGACGGTCAAAAATGGGGTGTCTACACCCGGGTTTTGGGTTTCAATAGTTTTGTGTAGTGGAGTGGTATGTATTTCTTTTAGTGTTTCGTTCATCATTTTGAGTCGTTAAAATTTCTTTATACTTTTACTTAACCTCTCTTAATGTTTCCGAGTTAAGAATTTTAAGTTTTGGGGGTTAGAACTTGTCTTAGGGTGTAAAATCATTTTCTGGGTAACTTAGTGGAACCGCTTGAGCGAAACCACTCAGTGGAATGGGTTTTTTGGGCAAAATTTCCACTTGTGCGGAATTAGGAACCGCTCGAGCGAATTTGGGTGAAATTTCTGGGCCGCCTCTGGACCATTCTGCTCATGAAAGGCAATTCCAAACTGCTCGTGTGGATTTGGGATTCCGCTCGTGCGGATTTGGAACTGCACGGGCAGATTTCAATGCGTCTGTCTAGATTTTTGTGCTCTTTTCCTCAAAACTGACGCCCAAGAGATGTTTTGACCACTTTTTCAGCTCTCTCTCTATATATATATATTCATATTTGTTCTCACTTCTCTCTACAAACTGACCAAATTTCAATCTTCTCTCTAAGATTTAGCAAGATCTACCAAGAATTTGAGGGGGCTTTTTACACCGAATCGAAGAGGGCGGCAAGGGTTACGTTCTCACCGATCGAATCGAGTTTTTTGAGTTTTCCTTAGCATCCATTTTTTAGGGTTTTTCATCCTCTTCCTCTCCAAAGCTTGAGGTAGAGATTTCTTAAAGTTATATATATTTATATTTCTGCAAGTCTATGCTTATTTGGAGCTTTTCTTTGTATTTTAACTTATGATTTTGGGTTTACATACTCTAAATGATTTTTAAAGTGGGTTTTCTTTATGTTTTCCAAATCCTTAATGCTGTGTTTGGTTAGGGGATTTAGAGAGGGATTTGGAAAAGGAAAAGGGAACAGGTGTGTGAAACTAAGTGAAATGTAGGTATATTGTATTCACATTTCACCTACCTTTTCCATTGCCCTTTCCAAATCTATTCTCAAATCTCCCAACCAAACGCAACATAAGAGTATAAGCAATGTTGTCATGTGTGTGCGTTGTTTAGGTAAGACCCTTTCAAAAATGGGGAAAAAAATCAAGCTTTGGTGAAACCCTAGAAATTGGGAATTGTGAAAAATATTGAGATATTATGAAATTCATGATTTATAAAGTATTATGGTGAATAAATTGGGGAGGATTACCATGTTTGTATTAATGAGGGAAATTCTGGAAAGATAAGAAATGTTTAATTTTGGAAGTTTAATATATAGCATATCAATGAATTGGCTTGAAGTGACGAATTTGAAATGGTTTATTAACATGTGGAAGATGCATATAAATGGTATTATTATTTACCTCTCGATAGATTTATTATATATGAGATTACCTTGTAAAGAGGTATGGAAATTTTTTATCACAATGGAAGATTGTGTGGTGGAAATTGAAATTGAAATTATTCAAGTACATTGTTACATATCGCATTGCCAATCCATTTCATTTGTTATCTTTGATTTCGAATTGTAATTGAAAACTATTGTTTTGAGAAATGAAATTGTGTTATGAAACAAGATCATATTGATTTGTTTTGGGGTAAATACATTGGTAAGTCCGGATAGAGGGTGTAGTTTGTATTAGTTAAGCTGGCCTGAGTGTCCATGGTGAAAGATCGAAAACACACGCAGAGAAGGTACCACGTGCCTTCCAGTTAGCAACCGGTGAAGTGCGATTTGGTAGTGCTAGTTATGCCTACTTGCAGACACCAACCTGGGGATTACCTGAGTCGTATTTACTGCCCCGTTGAACTATATTGAAATTATTGAATTGTTAAATTTTCAAAATTGCATTTTGCACAAAAGTTTCAAAAGATAAAGACATTGAACGTGGTTTGGCATATGCATTCATTCCATGAGATTGTATAAAATATATATACTTTGTTAAAGTTTTCCTACTATGCTTTGTACTCACCCCTATAGGATTTTGTGCAAGAAATGATGTGGTGATCCCACCAAGTTAGAGGCATGGAGATATGTTTTGAGAGTACAAGGCTCTTTTCTTTTGTTGTAATTATTTTTTTGACAAGCCAAAGGCTTTATGTGTATAGGTTTGAAGCCACTTTTGTGTAACCGAGCTTAAGCATTAGAATTTGTAGCCCTTGAGGGCTTTAATTCATACTAAACGTCTTTACTACATGTTATGGATTCATATTCTAAGAATGTTGAATATATAACCGTATATGGGGCATTCTTTTGTAAATCTCTTGAGGGTTGGCGAATTACGAATGTTGGAGATATAATGAGGATGTTAATATTGTGATTTATTTAGATTTGCATTAAATAATGGAAGTTGGTGAATCTTTATTGTGTAAATTTTTGGGGCGTGACAGTGGGAGCATTGCATTCATCTTGATAAAGAATGGGTCATCCAGAATAAATACAGTGCAAGCACAACATTTTATTTATGGAAAAAAAATTTGGGCACCACTCTAGAAAAATTTCTAGGTCTTGTAACTCAATAATAATACTTACACTAACAGTTTTGTTATAGTAATTAATGGATCCTCATTTCTATTGGGGAATGGGAAAACTTGGGCTAGTGAAAATAGTTTTGTTATCATCTCATGCCATATATTTTGGTACAGTCTATTAAATTTCAAATGGTAACGAATGCAGCTATACAGGGATATCAATTTGGTGAATAATAAGGGTTTCCATATGACAATCACGAATTGCAACAATTTTGTGGTTGAAAGCCTCAATATTACGCACCTAAAAATAGCCCGAATACATATGGCATCCATATTAGCCATTTTGATCAAGCTCGTATATCTAACTCCGTCACTGGAATCGGTGATGACTACATTTCTATTGGTGAATGTGAATATCTCTGGTATTACTTGTGGTCCAGGACATGACATCAAGTAAAATCATAAATAAAATAATCTCATCAATTCCGTATTCTCTTTCTAGTATATATATTTTCTAGACATGTGCTTGAATTGTTGTCTTTTGCCAGCATTGATAGACTTGGAAAAAAGCCTAAAGAAAACAGTGTTAGCGGAAGTTTTGTATCCAACTCTTCCTTGACAAATATAACAAATGGTGTGAGGATCAAAACCTTCCACAATTCACCTAAAATCCAAGCTTCCAACATCACTTTTGAAGACATAACCATAAAGGATGTTCAAAATCCCATCATTATCGATCAACATTATCGCTCTAAAAACACAACCAACTAAGGTAATAAATATATCTTAGCTATACACATCATGGCAAAGAAAAACAAGAAAATATAGATAGTAATATATGTATACTTTTTAGCCAATTTTCATTCATTACTAAATATGTTATTAACTTGTATGGTTTAGGTATCTCTTGCGAAGATCAGTGATGTTCACTATAGGAACATAAGGGATAGCTCGGTTTCAAATGTTGCAGTTACTCTTAATTGCAGTAGTTCAGTCCCTTGTGAAGGCATCGAATTAATTGACATTGATATCATCCTTAACTCCAACAGTTTAAAGAAGTTGTTGCCTCTTTCATCTTCATACAGCTTTGCTAAACCAGTCTTCAAGGGTAAACAAAACTCACCAACTTGCGAATAAACTTTCTTATTTATTGATGATATCATTACCACAAAATTACAAAAATCACTACTGCCACAATTTATTTCTTTATTTTTGTATAAATATTCTAGAAGTTTGGTATTTTCTTTCAATGGATTATATATACTTGTACGGGGAGGAAATAATTCTCCTCGTATAATCCTGTTGACCAAGTCCACGCTTCTCCGTACGACGTCGCTTTATCACCTGAAAACACAAACGTGAGCTAGCCGGCGGGTGTGTGCCGGAAACCTCTCCGATGCCTAAGTCAGAAAACTTGACAAATAGACAAAGCTCTAAGTTCTCAGAAAGATTGTGTTCAATTACCTCCTCCAAGGTGATGCTTGTGAGCTTTTATAAGTTTCCCGTGGCACAATCCTAGTAGGACTTGTACTTCTCCATGCAGAGTCCTCCTAGGATTCATTCTCCTAAGAATAATGCTTATCCTTTCACACCCTCCCCCACTGCTTAAACCAAGTGGGATGGTTCTCTTTATGGCCGAACTTCTATTTGACCGAAGTAAAAATGGCTATGCCGAGCCACCAAGTAGGCCGTACTAACAGTTTGTTCGGTTCTTCTTCATGCTATCATATCTCGGTTCTCTAATACCTGAACCGTGGTATGTTCAGACCGAACCACTGACTCGACCGGCATAACTCTCAAACCGGTATGCCTCTAAGGCCGGTCTAACTCCAAGTTGCTCCCCAAACCGAAGTACTTTACAATCCTCTAGCCGAAGTAACTCTATTACTTCGTAAGCCGAAGTAATTCCACCTCCTTTGGGCCGGAGTAACTCTGTCTCTCCTAGGCCGGAGTAACCATTACGGCCTTTTTTACTTAGTCCTTCGCTTTTCTGGGCCTTAAAGCCCAACTCGCAGCTCGGCCCAGTTTTTCCCAAAAATTGCCCTCTCAATACTATTATTTTATTTGTGTTTCTAAAAGTTGTTGTAGTGTACTAATTGATAAGGACAATTTGTTACAACATAGATTTTTCGAGATTTCATCATAAGGATAATTTCTAGGAAGAATTATTATTGCAATGTACTAATTGATAAGGATAATTTCTTAGGGAAATTTGGCTATAAACCCTCCTTAGCTTCCTTTTCTTATTAAAATGACAAAATAATAATAATAATACTTTCAAAACCCTCTCATAATTATAAAGTCTTGTATGAATGACAAAATTTGTTATTTAAATATTTTATCTGACCATTATACCCTCTCTATCTATCTCTTTCTTTTATAGCACATTCGCACGCACGCGCACGCACACATACACACACACACACACACACTCACTCTCTCTCTCTCTCTCTCTCTCTCTCTCTCTCTCTCTATCTTCACTATCTCTACTGTTGATGGTTGTTCATCACCTCCACTATATTTATTGTTGGCCGGTGTCACTCATCCTCACCGTCGACCGGCGACCACCATTTTTACCATCAAACCACCATTATCTCATATTCGATACCTACGAACTCAGATTTGAGATCAATAACTTTATATCTGAGATAAATGAACTCAAATTTGATAGAAAAATGAGAAAGTGAGAGATTGCAATGAAAAATCAAGAGTTTTTTGTTTGTTTGTTTATAGATCTAAAAGTAAAATTTGACTCTGCTTCATTCACTTAGGCCCCGTTTGGGGACTTACGTTTTTAACCAAAAAGTCAAAAAGTTACCTTTTTAGCCAAAAAACCAACAACTCATACCAAAAAGTCAAAGATTCTCTTTTCTCTCTACTTTTTGAACATCTTTCGTAATTAGCCAAAAAGTCATCCCAAACATATAAGTTTTTTTTACCTACTTTTTTAGCCAAATAGCCAAAAAGTTACTAAATTAGCCTGTTCCCAAACGAGGCCTTAGTATACACTTTTTTTTTTTGTAACAGTAAAATTTTACTCTAGTTAACGACATGCCAATCTTCTTAACAACAGTACAATTTTACTTTGAATTATAATAAATTTTACTTTAAGACACACTACAAGAATGGCTTTACAGGTGAGGGTTGCATTATGAATCACAGTAAAATTTTACTTTTCGAAGAAAATAGAGCATCATGACAAGAAGAAAGAGAGATAAGGAGACAGAGTTTTAAAATAGAGCATCATGGGAATAAAAAGAAGAAGAAGAAGAAGAAGAAGAAGAGAGAGAGAGAGAGAGAGAGAGAGAGAAAAAAAAAAACATAAATGGTGAGTGATACATACATACACACACATACATAGAGAACATGGACCGTTAGAACTAAAGGGAGAGAGAGTAAAGGATCTTAGATCCGAGGTTTACAAACCGCAAGCTGTCATTTTCCAACAACGACAATGGTGAATGATCTCAGATATGAAGTCGTGGACGCTACAAGTGATGGTCGCGATGCAGACAGTCAAAAAAGTGTTCCACAGAGAGTGACGGTGGCGCCGATGGAGAGCAACGGTGGTAAAGAGAGTGAGGTAGAGAGAAGAGATATTGAAATGAGAAAGAGTTTGCAGATCTTGTGTGTGTGTGTGTGTGTGTGTGTATGTGTGTGTGTGTGAGGGTAGTATAGTAAAAGAAATAAATTTTAAAATATTAGGGGGTTTTGAAAGAATCTGTATAATTCTTGTCCTTTTGAAAGACAAATTAGATAGTGAGAGCTCTATCACCAAATCTCCCAATTCCTTATAACATAGATTTTTTGAGATTTCATCATACGGATAATTTATAAAAAGAATTGTAATTAGTCCGTGACATTTTATTTTATTTAGGGTAAATTATAAATACACTTCTTGAGATTTGCTTAAAATATAAATTATCTTCCTATGCCTTTGAAAATTATAGATACCTCTTTATAAGAATTTTTTATTTAATAAAATTGACAAAAAAAATGAAATTTCAAATTACTCATACATAACAATAAAATTACCTGAATTGTTAATTAAAATAATAAAATTAACAAAAAAAAAATGAAACTTTCAATTACTCTTATATATAACAATAAAATTATTTGAATTGTTAATCGAAATATATTTATGATATTATTAAAAATTATTAATTGATTTAATGAATGATTAATAAAGAGAACTTTTATTATAAGACTAGAAACTTGAAGGAGGCAAATGTGATTTTTAGAATCACAAGGAACTGTTATACCCATAGTGGTGTGTGTGTAAATTAATTGTGTAAATAAAATAAACAACAAAATAAATTAATTCAGAAAATAATTTAAAAAATTAAATTCTGAATTAAATGCTTACAGAAATTAAAGTCGAGGTTTGTGTTGTACACAATCTCCTTAAAGTAAATTTCACCGTCGCTCCGGTGCTTCAAGTTTTACAAGCGTCTACATCTCAGGATGCAACGACTAACACTTAAATTTGCAGCACTATAAATTTAAGTCTGGCGAACCAAAACTCTATTGTAACTCGCTCTTTTTCTTCCTAAAATTAAATGCAAAACGAATACAGAAACACAGAGAAGACCAGAAAAAGAAGGACGGAATTATGATGGAAAATCTGATGAAATGAATTGCTGGAAGCGGACTTTATTTAGGCAGAATGGTGGCTATTCCGAACAGGTGCCAACAGATAGGCAACTGTTTGGACAGATTTCAACAGATAGAAAATCTGTTTGAACTATTTAGACAGTTCCAGATTTGTCCGGGAAGGATTCAACAGGTTCAAACCTATTCGAGTGGGTTAGAAACTATTTGGATGAATGAACAAATTTTGGACCAATTAATTTTGAATTTTGAAACCAAAATAAATAAATAAATAAATAAATTACAATTGTTTTTTGGCCAAAAAGATAAGTATTGGGTCGGACAAACCCAACCCAACTTCACACCACACACTCACGTCCAAGCCCAAGCCTAGCCTGCCAGACCGACCTAACGGACGGCGACGGCGGCGCGCGTATGTGGTTTTTGTTTTGGGTCCAATGGGTCTAGCCCACTTCACCCATAACCTCACATTTCCACAAACTTGGATACCTTTTGGGGCCCATCCTAAGTATCACAAGCTAAGGTATATAAACCCACTGAAATCCATAAGCATTTCCAATGCGGGACAAACACATTTCACAAATGTGTAAGAAACCCACCTAAATCCATTTCCACAAACCCGAAAATGCGCGTTGAATTCTCATTCATCTGGAAATGGTTTTGAGCAACCAAATACACAGTTTTATTCACTACGCGGCATTAAATATGAACCCAATTAGAAACGTTAAAAATAACGCTTGGGTCTCACCTTAATTAATTCTCAAAGTTAGCAAAAAAATAAGGTTACACAAAAGCCATTTTCCAACAATCCCCCACATGAATGGAATTCACAAGAACGGACATACAACAAGATACAGACAAAGAAAGAGTATATTAAGAAGATACACCACATCGAGATAGATAGCTTTTGACTTTGAACCTCCTATAGTGAAAGCCTATCAAACTTACTGGCTAACCAGTGGACGCGATGCCTTGAACTGTTCAGCTGTTTATGTAAGCCAAGACAATAGACTATACATAGTGTATCTGCAGACACAATTTGGTTCTTACGGTTGTGTTCATTTTGGCCCTAAACAACACCTGGTAATTCATGAGTGCTCTTAGAGAATTTAGCCTTCTTAATTCTCACAGAACCGGTCCAGTTCACACTTATATAGGTGACTTCTTATTAAGAGTATCCTATTATACCCCACTAGGATGTCCAAGCTATAAGAACCATTAAAAGCAAAGCTTATCCTACTAACGCTGCAGGTATCACTCTTCTTATCATAGAAATAGGTAGGAGTAAGCCTCCTTAGTGATACGTGAAGTCATCCATAATTCGGTTGTCCCTTTGAACCTAGATCCTGGGATCTCTAGTCAACTAGGTTAGGTTGCCATTATAGCGACTTTTAAGTAACAAACTTTAATCCCATTCCCCTCGATAAATAGTACACTTGCTCTCTGGCTAACCCTTTAGTCAATGGATCCGCAATATTCTTCTTTGACTTTACATATTCTATGGAAATTATTCCATGTGAGAGCAA